AATACTTGTTCCTGACAATATATTGGAGAAACTTACAGAAATAAAAGAAATCGTATCTATGAACATAAGAAGTATATCCACATATATATATGAAACAGAGTCTGTTTGTCTGTCTGTCTGATAACTTTTCACTCGAGATCCATCCAACTGATTTTGACCCAACTTGGCACATACATTGTACAATATAAGAGATAGGTCCTTAACGTAAAAAATGATAATTTTTGAAAAATGAATAATCGATAAAGCCGATCAAAAATCGATAATTTCGACTTTTTCCTCCAACTTCGTTCAAACTCTGTATGTAGGTTACTTACATCATGATGAGCTCAACGATACCTCATTTTTTATTTCTACGCCACTGCGTTTAGCGAAAACCCGCGAAAAACGAAAAATCGATTTCAATGCAAATTTTAAACTAAAAACTCCCTGAATTTTCAAGCAGTCTAATACAAACTTCATTCAATTGTAGCCAGCAATAAGCTGATTGTTTAATAGTTATTTAACTTGGCAACTGAGTTCATCCATATAGTGAAAACCCGCGTAAATAGCGAAAAATGGCGATTTTTATGTAGTTTCTTTCTTTTTTTTTTCGTTGATCTTTCAGCCAATTTTCATCAAACTTAACAATTGCTTTATAAATGTATCCTCTTTTACATCTCTGGTAGCACACTGACAAACTGAATTTCAAAAACTCTAAAATAATTGTGGTCTGAAGCGGGTCTTCATGTTGCCTGTTTTACCCCTTCATGTCCTTGGCTAACTTCGATTGAATAAATACAGACTACTTCTGTTATATCAGTAACGGCATTAATTCAAAATGTTTTTTAATGAACGTACTTTAAAGTAACTGAAGAAGATAGACTCTGTTTCATCTAAACTGTTTTTGCTCCATTCTAATTGAACGCTTTTTCTGATCGACCAGCTGGGTATTTATCAAATGTGATCATACCCAGAAATAAATTCGACCACAAGTTCGATCTAAAGAATACGGCACTTGAAGAGATTTTCTCTTCAAGTAACTTACAGAAAAAATTTTGAGAGTGTTGCTATGGAATCTTGCGTCGTATTTTTTCAAATATCTTCTTTTCTGTAAAGTAATTCGCCTTTTTCCAAATAGATAATCATAAAGCTTTTAAAAATTAAGAGGACGATTAAATCAAACCCGTCTATTATTTAAAATAAATGAATACATAAATAATTTATTAATTCAACATAAAATAATAAATAACAATTACATTTATAATGTAAATAAATCAATAAATTAATATTAACAAAAATTCAATAACATTTACTCAGTTTCCTTTATTAGGTACTAGCAGCATGGCCCGGCGTTGCCCGTACTTGATTCAAAAATCGTTCGACTCATACAGCAATCGCTATAACTTTACTTAAAATATTTTTGCCCTTCCTTGCCTTTAAAGGAGTGCCCTTTGAGGTGCTGATGTTGCTACATGCCTTACTTCTTGCCTATCTCACATTGCGAATTTTTTCTAAGCTCTATACTAAACATTAAATCTGTTACGAAAAAAAACACAAAACGATCAGCTTTAAAAAAAGGACTCGTAACTGGAAAAACCGAATGAAAAAAGAATGTTAACAATAATTTTTCACACCCAACCCAGTTCTGCGGAATCAGAATCAACGTTGAGTTTAAGCAAGCGAATGAGCCAATTGGAGTAAAATGCCATGCAGATTTAAATTTTTCCCCCACTTGTGACGAATGCAGTTATCAATTTTTTGCATGCTAGTTAACATTCGTGTCAGTCAGCTGTTGGCTCTCACGCTGGCCAATAAAATCTTCCTGCCTATTCGTGTCAGCCAGTTATTGGCTCTCACTCTGGCCAGTAGAAGATGGCCGCAAACTACATGAAAACTGCCGTAGAAGCATGAAAAATCGATTATTTCCATTATTGTTGGGAGTTGGGAAATGCAAAGTCGGTCTTGGCCTTTCCCGCTAACTTGGAGCATGTGCATGTAAATTATGGTGCAAATCCGTCGAAAATTGCGGCCGTGCATTCGTTACACACACACACACACACACACACACACACACACACACACACACACACACACACATCCTGCCTTTTATAGATAGAGATTAAATTACATTATTTAGCCTCTTCCATATTTTACCTTGACTTTTATAGCCTGAAGAACTTTTTAAGCGTTCTTGACTTAAGAAGTAAATTTTGCAGATTTAATGATATTTTTACTTGTTTATAAATATTTGCCGTCAAATGAAATAGCTTGACAAAGTCCATTCAGAGGGCGAAACGTATCCGTTTAGAAAAATTTTCCTTTTGACATGCGTCTGTCTCCAGAGACAATGGGTCTTCGGCCGAAGAATTATGCCCATTCCAGGGCGCCGGCCTGGGACAGGATTTAAAAAAAAATAGGCAGCAAGTCCACGTCACCAATGTTATTCAGAGGGAAAGCAGAAGAATCTTAGCCCCGGTGGCGCCTCAGAACGAAACTGTATATGATTGAGCCTTGGTTTGACTTAGGGAAGACGACTCCGGATTTGGCTATTTCTTAGACTCTCTATTTAAAACATAGTTGGTGGTTTTTGAATTCAAAGTTTTCCTTCTTATTGCCACTTAAGGCTACAGAACCTAGTTTGACCTGTTACGTATTTCGTAGATGGAGCGAGAGAGGATATTGATTCATACTTGTGAGAGAGGTATTAACACGTATGTGAATATAATGAAATCGACTAGAATTCGATCTCGACTCTCCGATTCCTAGACAATAAATAATATCTGAGTCAGCAGCTGTTTCATATACTTTACCTCAAAAAAAAAGAAAAAAAAAAAAGAAAAAAGATATATCTGCCTCATAAGACCAAACGAAATGACGCTGCATAAAAGTACCATATTGCCGTTTGATGACACAAATTGTAATCTAACTCCCCCCCCCATGTAGCATTAAGAGCCTCTGCAATACGATCCTATATTAAATATCAAATGATCAAAATGAGGAGTGAATTATTAATAAACTTGCACCTTCCGCTCGTTATGTAATATTTCTGCACTAGACGCGTGTTGAAAACTTCACAGTATTTAGTATTGTTGAAGTTATCGCTAATATTTTCCATCCAGATTTACAAACTCTACGTTTAGTTCAATTTCGTAAACCAATCGATGAAATTTGAATAAGCTCATTTATTTGGAAAAATACTTTCACAAAAAAAAAACGGTTTAATAATTAATTTAATATCATTTTATATGACTTTATGGTAAATAAAATTTTTTAAGAAAATTTCTTATTTTTCTTACTACATTTTAACAGCGAAGAATAAATTCTTAGGATTTCTTACTCCAGAGCATGCAACATACAACTGGCCATGCATAAATATTTCTTTCTGGAACCAAATTCCAACATTTTGAAGCGTTAATAACATTATCATTGAAAAACAAATGGAAATCACCATATTGATACATGTTTAAATCCAATCTAAGCTTTCGGCTTACATAAGCCATTATCAAAGATGACAATTACTTTCCAATATATCAACCAATACAGGGACGAAACAATAATGGTTATGTGTGATGTAACGAGCTGCGACGCGATTTTTGCTTCCGCGTCTCGTATACACGACTTAGCCGTTGCTTTGAAATTTTTCCTGCAGCACAAAACATATAACTTGATAAATTCCATTCAGACGGATAAAGTGCTCAATATCAGAGACAGAGCGTATTTAATATAAATATAAAAATGAACAATATATATATATATATATATATATATATATATATATATATTCAGTTGTGTTGATATTAGTCACACGGGGTTTCACGCTTTCATTCTGATGATAGCAATATATATATATATGTTTGTCTCTGTGTGTGTGTATGTGTGTGTGCATATATATAGGAGTGTGTGTGTGTGTGTGTGTGTGTGTGTGTGTGTGCATATATATAGGAGTGTGTGTGCATATATATAGGTGTGTGTTTGTATGGAGGCACGGTGGAGTAATGGATAGCGGCTTGGATTGAGGAATCGGAGAGCCGAGTTCGAATTCCAGTCGAATCCATTACATTCACTTACGTACTAACACACTTGGGAAACGTGTGAATCCCATTTTTTCTCCCTGCAGCTATGGGTAAATAGCTGGAGGGAGAAGATAGCAGGACAGACTGGGTTCCTTAGCTTTGGATGGCAACTGGTCTAGGAGAAGGAAAACTTTGAATTCAAACCTACTCTTAGATGAGGGTGAATGGAGTTTCTCTGAGACTTAGTTGGCAATCCATTTGGTGATGGTGTCACGATAAAAACACCCTTGATAGCCCTAGCGAAGCATCAATAATTCAGCTACTTGACAAATTTATGAACTACACCAATCAAAGTATTAGTGCGTTCAATCTCGGCTGAGGCCGCAAGATGATGATGATGTATGTATGTAGTTATACAGAATGCTATATTATGTGTTAAAGTACTCAATATCAGGGACAGAGCGTATGTGAATATAAAAGCGCACATTGAAGACAGCACCCTGTCTCTGTATGCATATATATATATATATATATATATATGGCTTTGAAAATGGCAGAATGCATTCATTTAAAGGGATCGTTTTAGTTCAAGACTCCTTTAGAACGATTCCTTGAACTAAACTAATGAAAACGGTATGAATGAAACGGTAAACACGACAGCCAACACTAAAATAAATTTATTACTAAAACAAAAACCAATCTGAAAAAGTGTTAGACGAAAAGGTCTCTTTAAAAGAACGCGTTCCATCATTTTTAAACCCATGTTTAAATATATATATATATATATATATATATATATATATATATATATATATATGTATATATATATATATATATATATATTTAACAAAATCATCTCACTGTATATATATATATATATATATATATAAAAAAAAAAACTTATATATATATATATATATATATATATATATATATATATATATATTCTATCAAATTATTTATTTGAATATTTATTTATTGTTAAAGCCCTCAGTCTTTATTAGGGAGATGGAGAGACTTGGCTGTATCTATCTCGTCCATTTATCTATCTATCTCCAGTCCTCTAGGCGTTTTTAATCTGTCTCATTCATTCTGTTGAGTTGTCTAACACAGATTTTGCAAACCACGAACCGAACCCCGTCCACCCCACAATTCTGCCGTCTTTGCAGACACACAGTCAGCCAATGTAAAGACAATGTTTCGGAAGAACATCCATCACACACACACACACATGTATAGACAGACACACACACACAGGCGGGTGTGCGCGCCTGCGCACATATATGATGCGGTCCTCGTCTTCGTCGTTCTCGCCATCCCCAACCGAAACAGCCCTTGTCCCCTTCGCTTTGCGTCACATCCACTTAGGGTTGATTGACTGAATCGTGTTATGGTCCGCCATGTCACTCAAGTTTTTATTTTTTATTTTTGTTGTTTTTAATATTTTTTTGACTTTCGACATTAAAAACACGAACGCCGGGACCTTTGGCTCAAAAGTCTTCAACTCTGATTCCATTTTGTTCAGTTTCTCAATTGGAAAATACGTGATCCGCAGAAATCCTTTTATGTCTGGCCTTCCTCTTTCTCTTAGAAGTTTTTCTGCGTTGTATTTTTGTCTTTGTATCCCGGGCTCTCTTCATTTTTCCTTCAGTTTTCATTCCATCTCTTGTTCCTTCTTTATTGCTCTTGATTCTTTCTTTGCTTTTTCCTTTTTTTTTTAGGTCCGTTTCTTTCTTGCCTTTTTTTCTTTCACTTGTTCTTTTTCCTTTTCTTTATTTTTCTTACTTTTGATCTTCTTTCTTTCCTTCTTTTTTCTTCTTTTATTTTTCTTTCTTTCCTTCTTTTTCTTCTTTTATTTTTCTTTCTTTCCTTCTTTTTCTTCTTTTATTTTTCTTTCTTTCCTTCTTTTTCCTTCTTTTATTTTTCTTCTTTCTTTCTTTTTTTTCCTATTTTTTCTACCTTTTGCTCTGCTTTCTTTCCTTCTTTATTCTTTCAATCTTCTTTTCATTACACTTCTTTTTTACTTTTTCTTTCTTTTACTCGTCCTTCTTTCATTTTTCTCTTCTTTCGTTCTTTCTTTTCTTTTTCTTCCTTTTATTCTTCTTTCTTTCCTTTTTCTTTCTTTTACTCTTTTTTCTTTCCATCTTTGTCTTCTTTTCGTGTGTGTTTCTTTCCTTGTTTTTTCTTCCTTTTTCTCTTCTTTCTATCATTCTGTTTTCCTTTTGCCCTTTATCTTTTTTGCTTTTTCTTTCTTTTCTCATTTTCATCCTTTTTTCGTTTTTTATTCTTCTTTTTTCTTTTTCTTCTTTTTCTTCTTCTTTCCTTCTTTCTTTTTTTTCCTTCTTTTTCTTTCCTTTGTTCTTTTTCTTTCCTTTCTTTCTTTTCCCTTCATTCTGTCCTTCTCACGTTCTTTTATCATTTTTTTTCAATCGTCATTTTATTTACTCCTTATTTTCTGTATTTCTTTCTTGTTTTTTTCCTTCTTTTTTCTCTCGTTTTCTCTTTACTCATCTTTTACTTTCAGTTTTCTTTATTTTCTTTTGTTTTTCTTTCCATTATTTTTCTTTCTTTTCATTTTTATATTTTTTCTTTTCTTTTTTCCCCGATTTCTTTTCAGCTTCTTTCTTTTTTTTCTCTTACCTTCTTTCTCTCTGTTATTTTATATTTTCTTTACTCATTATTTCCTTTACATGTATTCTTCTTCCTTTCTTTTCTTTTCTCTTTCCTCTTCCTTTTCCCTTTCCTCTTTTCTCTCTCCTCCTCCTTTTATGATTTCCTTTTACTCAGCATTTTCTTTTTGCCATTTTGTTTTTCTTTCTTTTTCCTTACATACTTCAATATTGATATCTCTTTATTTTCATTCTTTATTTCTTTTATTCTTTATGCTTCTTTCTTTCATTTTTCGTTCTTTCTGCCTCTCTTTCTTTCTTTATTTTTGAGTTCTTTTTTACTCATCATTGTCTTTACTTTTTCTATCTTCCTTTCTTGCCTTTATTTCTCTCTCTCTCTCTTTCTTTCATTACACCTACAGTTCTTACTTTCTCCCTTATTCTATCTTTCTTTTTCATACTTTTAAAACATTTCTTTCCTTGCTATTTTTAATTTTTTTCTCCCTTTCTTTCTTTCTTTCTTTCTTTCTTTCTTTCTTTCTTTCTTTCTTTCTTTCTTTACATCAACACTTCTTACGTTTTTTTCTTTTTTTTCTCCCTTTTCCTTTCTTTCTTTCTTTTTAAGAGTTTTTTCTTTACACAAAATCGTCTTTACTTTTCTTTCATTCTTTTTCTCTCTTTCTTACTTTTCTCTTTGTTTCTTTTCTCTTTCTTTTTTCTTTCTTTCTTTTTTCTCTTTCTCTCTTTCATTCTTTCTTTCTTTACACCTACACTTCTTTGTTTCCCCTTCATTCTCTATTTCTTCTTTCATACTTCTAAAATATTTCTTTTTTCGTTATTTTTCATTTTCTTTCTTTGTTTCTTTGTTTCTTTACACCTACAATTATTTTTCCTTCTTTCTCTCTTTCTTCTTTCATATTTTTAAAACATTTCCTTCCTCGCTTTCTTCTTTCTTTCTTTTTTTCTCTCTCTCACTTTCTTTCTTTCTTTTTCTTTCTTTCTTTCTTTCTTTCTTTCTTTCTTTATCTTTCTTTCTTTCTTTATTTTTTCTTTCTTTCTTTACAGTTACACATCTTTTTTCGCTTCTTTCTTTCTTCTTTCATACTTTTAAAACATTTCTTTCCTCGCTTTCTTCTTTCTTTATTTCTTTTTCTCTCTTTTTTCTTTTTTCTCTCACTTTCTTTCTTTCTTTCTTTCTTTTCTTTCTTTGTTTTGCTTTCTTTCTTTCTTTCTTTACACTTACACTTCTTTTTCCCTTCTTTCTCTCTTTTTTCTTTCATACTTTTAAAACATTTCTTTCTTCGCTATTTTTTACTTTATTTCTTTTCTTTCATTCTTTCTCATTCTTTCTTTCTTTCTTTCTTTCTTTCTTTCTTTCTTTCTTTCTTTCTTTTCATCTCACCTTCTGATGATCATTCCTTCTCTTAGCGCTTTTTCGATGCCATTCCTTTTTCTACTGTTTTTCACATATCTTGTCCGTTACGTTTTTCGTCTGTTTTACGAATCTGTCAAAATCCACTTTCCTTGACCCTTTCCTCTCCCTTTATTTCCTCTTTCGCATTTTTCATTCTTTTTTTTTCTCTTTTCTCAGCTTTCATTTCTTTAATCTCTTTCTCGCATTGCCAAAAATAAAAACCTTCAGCTTATATTCTTCTCTTGTTTATATTTTTGCTCTCGCCTCCATATTTCTCCTCATTTTACTTTACTTTTATTTTTTCTACCGCCATGATTGCAAATATTTTTTATCCCCGAAATATCCGTCCCTGTTTGACTGCTTTCATTTCACTCTCCTTGTTTCTTGTCGGCCCTTCCTTTTCTGACTTAGCCACTTCATTCGGACTTGTAGCTTTTATTTTGGCCAAGCTCACCTTCATCAAATGTATACCTTGGACCTTCTCTCAAAAGCAAAATAAAAAAATAAAAAAAGAGAGAAAAAGAAGCCCGAAATGACTTCCATGAAAAGAAAAAAAAATGATTGATAGATAAGGGAGTACTCACATATACGACGGGTGGAAAGCTGAAAAGTTCTCCTCCCGACCAAGAAGTCCATTCCCAGTAAAATCTGATGTTTGTTCAGATTTTGGAAAGTGGCTTGCAGCCAGAACATTTCAACAACCTTTCAACGTTTCATCGATAAGAACTTTATTCTAATAAAGATCTTTTAGGGGACGAAAACTTTTATTCATTTATATATATATATATATATATATATATATATATATGTAAAGAAAGAACAGTAAGATATATAATCCGGTGTTCTCATAGATATTTTTATTTTAAAAAAAAAAGTGCTCAATGTAAATTTACAGTGCATTAATATTATAGATTAATTGATATAAAATATGTTTTTTTCGCTACACAGTTCTAATCATGTTTCAAAAATGGAAGCTGAAAGCTCCGAATTTAATTTTGTAATTAAATTAAAGACATTAGTTCCATTTCAAAAAAGTTTTAAACCCAGTAGTTTTAAAAGTTACTCAAAAATTCGCTTGAAGATGAAATGGAACTATATATATATATATTCGTCGTATGCGGGTCAAGCAGCTCAGTTCCTAGGAACCGACAGCCAGACACCAACACATATGATTTGATTATAATAGTGAAGGCTTTGTGCAGAACCAACCACAATTTTTGAAGGTCCCTAATGACCCTCTGTATATATATATATATATATATATATATATATATATATATATATATATATATATAAAAAATATATTTTTGAACAATAAGAAAATTTTAAAAAAAATAAAAAATTAAAATTTAGACACACTGGGTTGTAGATTAATATTCTTTCGTTTTTTATTATTATTATTATTCCATTTAAATTCCTCGACTAGTTTCGACCGAAATGGCCATCATCGGGAGTATGAAATATTTCTGCTTGCTGTTAGCAAGGAACTACAGAAATGAATGTCTTTTGTTGGAGAAAATGAACTTTTTGTCTGTAGTTTCATTTGTTTTTTATTTTTTTATTTTTAACATGAATCTTTTAACATTCCTTGTGTTGGTCAAACAGTCTCTTTTAAGTTGTTATTTGAGATAAGAACTGGATAAGATACATTTTATCCTGAATTCTCTGGTCAGTTTGACAGTTTTATTGGACCTGGTGAGGGGATGTGTCTCTGTTTAGTGTTTGTGTGTGTGTTATTTTTTCTTAGGGGTGAGTGAATATGTCCCGTGTGCATTGCTGAGGTGTGTGTGTCATTTGGCTCATTATATATATATGGTGTGTGTACGTGTATAATATATATATATATATGTCTATATATTTTGATTTGATTGTTAAAAAAAATATATATATATATGCTTTTTGAAATTTGTAGGTCTGATGAATTTCGATTTCAATGTAATAAATTATAACCATGGAACATTTATGTTTGAGCTTATATATATATATATATATATATATATATATATATATATATATATATATATTAGTTAAAATTAAATGCAGATCGAATATGCACCAGAATCCGACAAGATGATAAAATAAAGAACAAACAGGAAACGCATATCAATTTAACATGTTTCAATTTTAGTAAAGCTTCGTCAGAGATACGTGACTGACCAAAGAGAATTGACCCAAACTTGAAAATTGAAAATACTAAAGTTCAGTTTTTGGGATGTTTTCTCTCGTAGCAGTAATAAAGGTAAAATATGTTAGATTAGAAAATGTTTCTTATTTTTTTTATCATATCATTTGTACATCAAACAGCTCTCTCCCACCATCAACCTTACCTTGTTTAACAGTGGTAACGGCATACTGAATATCTTTTAAAAATAAAAATCACCCACTCGAATTTAAGGCAACAGAAGACGAATTTACGCTCCTATTGTCATTCACAAATAATACGTCTTGCACAGGCAAAACATGAAAATAAACTAACAGTACTACCACCACCCTGAAAATGTCTAAAGAAGTGGCCGAAAGCGCTTGGGATAATCGATAATTTGGAGAGATTTTGTACTCATTCACTCTCACCTAATGGGAAAATGAAAGAAAGCTGAAAAAAACTAAATAAAACAAATAATAGATGTTTCCTTGTCCATCATATTTAACGAAATATTTTTAAAAGTAAGGTTGCTTCTCAAATATACAATACCGGTATCGACTGAGTTCGTGTCTGAAATAGAAATTTATATATATATATATATATATATATATGAAGAAAAAAAAATTTCAGTTATCTGTTTTGGATAAGACTTGTTGTTTATGTCCATCGTCTTTGTCAAATTGAACTGAATTGTATTTTAATGAATATTGTCCTGAAGAAGGTTTATTAAACCGAAACGTCAGACGTCGACATTTCATTCATTTTAAACAACGTAATTGCATTTAAGGATTTTTTTTGTTTTTTTTTCCAAATTTTTCTTCATTCTGTCGGATCTATATCCATTTTCATTTGCTTATATATATATATATATATATATATATATATATATATATATATATATATATATATATATTTCATTAAAACGACAAACAAGGTACTAGTTGAGCTTTTTATTTAATTTTTCTTGTGTTCTGACAAGAGCTTTTTTTCTGGACAAAGAGTGTGTAAGAACTGTCCGAATGTTCTGTGTTTCCGAGCGCTTTCTGCTATACCTTTAGCCATTATCAAGGATGGTTCAATTATCAGCTTTGATTTTTTTATCCGGGTCAATAGGAGTAGTATATTTCTTTATAATATGTCTTAGAGCAGATTCATCTTGCTTGTAATTAATATGCATTCAAACTTATTATTTATTATAAAAAAATTAAGACGGCCAACCTTATCCTCAAAAATAACAACACACCAACGAAGTCAAAATTACAAAGAACGAACATTATCTATGAGTTCAAATGCCCTTTAAGGAACTGCGTTCCTCACCAAAACCGGACTCATAAATAATTACATCGGCTACACAACCACATGTTTATCCAGACGTCTTACATTACACCTATCTGATCACAGTTCCATCAGAACACATTTAAACACACACTCAGATTTACCTGACACTATTAGGAACATACTAGTAGAAAAACACTAATATATTAACTGCATCCACTTGCAAAAAAGACTGAAAATAATGGAAGCTCTAATAATAAAAAAGAAAAAGCCAACTCTTAACAATATCAACTATGAACAAAGCCACAATGTAAGCAACTGTATTCGGAAACTAAAACATCACTACCACACACTGAACATACATAGAACACACTCTACTAAGATGATAATTGAACCATCCTTGATAATGGCTAAAGGTATAGCCGAAAGCGCTCGAAACACAGAACATTCGGACAGTTCTTACACACTTTTGTCCAGAAAAGAAAGCTCTTGTCAGAACACAAGAAAAATTAAATAAAAGCTCAACTGTAGTACCTTGTCTGTCGTTTTTAATGAAACATGCATAAAGGAAGGATTGTTGCCTAAATATACAAATATATATATATATATATATGTGTGTGTGTGTGTGTGTGTGTGTGTGTGTGTGAGAGAGAGAGAGAGATAGAGAGAGAGATAGAGAGAGATGGGTATATATATATATATATATATATATATATATATATATATCACCACAGAGATCCTTCCCTGCCCTCCATTAGAATATCTGACGCTCAACTTCTCGAGAGCACCTCTCTGCGACTGCTCGGTCTCACGTTGACGGCTGACCTGAGATGGAACAAATACATTGAGTCAATTGCTTCGTCCACCGCAAGGAAAGTTGGCTCTCTGACGCGCTAGGAAATTTTTCTCCCCGGAATCGATACTTCAGATCTACAAATCAACAATTTGCCCTTGCATGGAGTATTGCTGCCATATATGGTCTGGAGCCCCTTCTGTTTGCCTCGGGGTTCTTGATAAGCTCCAGAGGCGGATATGCAATCTAATTGGCCCTGTTCTGGCATCTCGTGTACAGTCGCTCTCTCACAGACGCGCCGTCGCCTCTCTGTGTCTTTTTTACAAATAATTTCATGGTAATTGCTCAGAGGATTTGCATTCACTGGTTCCCAGACTTCATTAATTCAAGCGCCCTACGAGGCTGGCAACCTGTTCTCACCCTTTCACTGTCGAAACTCCTAAATGTAGCCATCTCTTCTACTCCAATAGCTTCATGTCTCGCACCTCTCGCCTGTGGAACCCCCTTCCCTATTCCAGTTTCCCTGAGAGCTATAATCTCCTACTATTCAAATGTAATGTCAATCGACATCTCCAGTTGCCTTGATCTATCCACTATCCTTCTCCCCATCCTTTCCTCTATCACCCCATCTGATCTTGCTCCAAATCTTCTGTAACCCCTTGCGTCTTAGTGGCTTCCCTGCCTTGCTTGAGGTGAAAACGCTTAAACGCTATATATATATATATATATATATATATATATATATATATATAAAAAAGAAAAGAGATACCACAAACATTTTTGG